TATATATATATATATATATATAAATACTTCAAAATTATTCCATTTACAAAGCATGTGAATTTTAATTAAGTTATCAAAAAAATGTATTTATATTAATTAATTTAACATAAAATATGTATATTCATCTTCATTTTTTTTTTTTTTGAAATAATCTGTTTATAAATATTTTTTTGTCTCCAATCTTTCCATGAAGAAGATAGATACTTGATTAAATCTATCTTGTAACCACTATTATCTACACAAGTCTGATAACGGTAGTTATCGCACATTGATTAAAGGTGAGCACATGAACTACAAGATGTGCTAGTTGCGTGTGGCCCTACTTTACCTCAAACAACTTTAAATGAATTATTTTTTATTATAACTTATCATGATATATCATGTGATTAAGCGATTGAAACATTTAAAACATATTATCTGGTAAACTACCAACCTATGTTTTTTTACAGTTTAGTTTAAATATATTACAAATTAAAGTAAAACATGAAACACCATTTAGTTTTGAATTGAATTCTTGTACAATACGAAAATAATATGGTATTAACAGTTTGGTTATTAATTATATTCATCGATCTACATAGCATTAAAAATTAAAAATTACTCTCATAAAATGAAAAATGAAAAGTAAAAATTATTTGAACATGAATAAAAAAGAAATTAAAAAAAAATACACATGAAAAACGTTTGTAGAACGTAATTTTAAAAAAAAATTAGGAAAATACTACGCTACATATTTTATAGGTGTACATAAGTAATGTAGGTTTATTTAAGGATATTACCATTGTGTATAAGAGGTGTAAAATTAATGATAAAATTAAACATTGAATTAGTTTTAAAACCAGGGCAGGATTTAGGGAAGGACTGAATGGGATATAGCCCTGAGATCCCTAGAGTTTTATAAATATAAAAATAATTATTAAATTTAAAAAATATATATAACAAGAAACTTATTATTTTTATTATTAATTTAAGCCTTAAACTTTCAATAATACATTTTATTACTAAATAAATTAAATAAGTAGCATATTAAAAATATTCAAAGTTATAGAATCATCAAAAAATTGATCGTTCTGTTTATTTATTCTAGGCCTCCGCAATATATTCCGCCCACGGGTCATACATACCTAAATCCACCCCTGCTTAAAACTATTTATTTTGGAAAATAAGAATAATTTACGCAGAAAGTTTATCAATTTCAGTAAAACCCTTAATTACTTTACATTTTTTTTAAGTCTTGTTTAACTATATTTTTAATTTTTAAGAAGTGCTAAATAAGGCAAATTTATTTAACTGCTACCAAGTTAATTAGGTTGTTATAAAGCTAATTGCTTCAAACACTAGAATTTATTAATTTATAAATTATTATACATTTTTTAATGAAAATAAAACCTAAGTTAATCGTTTATCTATTTTATTTAACTTAATACTTTTTTTTTTAATAATATTTTCAAATATTAACGACGAATTAACTTTCTTCAATAGAAAAAAAAATGTGTCTAACTTACTTTTATTCAAATTATCTCTGTTAATAGATTAAAACTACTAAAAAATCCATAATGAAGTGTAAACATTTCTATGAATAACACATGAGAACACCAACCATTTTTAAGTAAAAAAATTCTATTAAAATATACAAATATAAAAATTTGTAATTATTTTTTTTTTTTGAAATAAGCTATATAATTTATGAAGCTTACAAATTAATATACAGTATTTAAAAATTAAAATTTAATTTAAAGCAATAAATAGCATATATTTTTTATTTTTTAGTTCAGGCTGTAATCACAAAGCACAAAGTTATAAATAAAAAAATAAAGACAACAAAGCTATCTTTAAAATTTGAATACAAACAATAAATTTAAAAACAGAATGAACATGTATTAAAATAAGAATAATAATGTCTACACGTAGATAACCATTGTTCAAACTTTAAACAAGTATTTTACAGTTCAGACATATTTCTTTTTCTCTCGAAAGTTTTTTCATTTTTATATTCTCCTAATATAACTAGTATGAAAACTCTCTCCGTCTCATTTGAATAAAATTAAATATAATTTTGATAGTATCATATATTAAGCACAAGTTAATTTGAAATTATAATTTGCACTAGTAATATCATCAAAAATTTTATAGAATACGTCATATTCGAGATAATATTATAAAAAAAAAAAATGTTCTACAATACTTAAATATTCATATAAATAAGTTTTTCTTTGATTCTTAAAGAACAAACTTAGAAGCAGGATAATTAGAATTATTAATTTTGAAAAAAACTAATACGTTGTGATCATTTTTTCATTTGTAACATAGCCGTAAACTTAATATACAATCTAATATCTTATTATCAATATTTTGTTACTAAATTTGGAAAAATGTCATATAGTTCCGAATGACCTTTAATCAATTTATCCAGTTTAATTTTCAACCTATTAATTTTTTCTATTCTATAAATGTCTTCATCATAAAATATTTAATGTCAATCTGTCGACTGTCAAAAAAAATGTGTAGAATATCAGTATAAGTAATAGAACAATTACCATACTTTAGAGATTTTTAACACCAAATAAACAGAAAGTATTTTATACAGATTTAAAAAAGTCGGTGTGTTAGATTGGTTATTGGGTCCTTAAATTTATCTTATTTTACCAGAAAATTTTTGAAAGAAAAGAAACACACATAAATCATAACTAGGGCCCGGAACTTGATAATCTAAATTTTAGATTCTAAAAACATTTAAAAAATACACACAAAAAAATAAATAAATGACTTAAAAAAATACCTTAAAAATACCAAAAAATTACATTTTTTAATAATAAATCATCAAAAAATCGACGTTTTTAAATAAATATTTTATAGTCATCATTTGTTATTTTATTCATCTTATACATTAAATGTTTTTTTTTTTTTTTTTACAGGCTATAGGTCCTAAATTAATTTTAAAACGGAAATAAGAAATAATGTCGGTAATATAAAATAATTACAAAAAAGTAATTGGTATTTTTAGAAAAATAATTGAAGGATTAGGCTGTACAATACGTTAGTTTTTTAAAATATTCAGTTTTGTCAAAATAATATAAAATAAAAATGTAAAAAATGCAAAAAATGCACTAAAATTAGTAAAAAATAATCGTATATATATAACCAAAAATTACCAAAAAATGTAACATAAATGTGAATTTCACATAACATAAGTCACATTCCTGTAAGTATAATCCAGCCTCGTATAAAGATACAAATGCATCAAGTTCTGGGCTCTAGCGATAACATAAAGTGAATGCATACGTAAGGATTTAAGAAATACATTTAAAAATAAATACTACACAAATTAGCTTTAAAAGTTTTTCAAATACTTTAATAATTTAAAATTAATTAATAACAAAGATTATAAAATATTTATCACTTAATGAACTTAAAGAACTTACTTCAAGTGGGTCCTAGTACATTGAACCTAACCTGTTTTAAAATAATTAAAATAAAAAGTTTTTTAAGAAGGAATAGATTTAAGAATTGAAAAATAAGGATAACATTTGAAGTAATCTTACATATTTTCATCGAATTCCTTAAGAGTCTTGTATTAAACTCTTGTACTTGTACTCACAACAGAACTTCCTAAACCATTTATAAAAAAAAACAACATACATTATTTTAATGTTTATATTTATTGTACTACTATAATATTATACAAACTTTGCAATAGTTTTTCAATTGTTAAATTACAATTTTCACAAAATGTAATTTTATTTCCCCATTTATGAAAACGCAACAGAATTTCTTAAATCTTCAAACGATTTAATAACACTTTTTATTACATTTTCTACAAGAATGAGCAACCAGTTGAGCATTAGGATTTAATCTACATTCCTTAAAATACCTAAGTATATATTCACTAAGGAAATAAGCCTTTTGACTTTCAGAACAGTTACAATAGCATATGCATAAGGACATTTGCTATTCTTTATAGCATTTGTAATATAAATAGAATATAGATAATCAAATAATGATTTTCAATTTAAATAGCTTTAATTTGTTATAATACTATAGTTCAATCAGAATATACCTTGAGTAAATTAAAAATCAAAATACCTTTTTTTAATGTTAAATTTAAAAAATATATTACCTAGCCTCGTCACACATAGTACCAAATACATTATCTCCTACTTCTGAAATTATATGATCTTTTATGTTTTTTGCACATATTTCAATAATGCTTTAAACCATTTGGACTAATGTAATTTATATTTTGTAGAAATTTTACAAAAAACTCTAATACATAATATTACATTAATTAACAAGCTTCCTTGAAAGTCCCTATTAATATTTAAGCAATAATAAATTTTTAAATTATTATTTAATAAATAAATATTTATGTTGCAAGTTATATTATAAATAATTATTTTATACCCACATTAAAAATTATATATCTACCATTATTAAGTGAATTGATAAATTTATCACAGCTTCTAAAATTTCTAAATGGCCTATGACTTTGATTTCTGTCAATGTTATAGATAATTGCGCTTATACTGTTTATAGTTATGACTTATGACAAAATAGTTGTGTACATTATGATTCATCCATAATTAAATTACCAATAGCTTATTTTCCTATTTAACCATCCATCACTGTAGAAAAAAAAAATACCGTTAAAGTGCATTCCGGTCCATATTGAACACTGATGAAGTGATGAAATGATCATAAACTAATAAATAATAATACCTATTAAATTAATATTATATTATTTTACGAGAACATTGAATATAATATTATTATTATTATTATTATTAAATTATAACAAAATCTTAGGTGGGCATTAATGACGGTACAGGCAACCACCGTGGTGTCGTATACGGTGATGTTGGTAACACTCCACTCGCTGATGCCCTTTACATTTTAAATTTTTATATCGTCTCCCTAGTCCCTATCAACATTAAACGTTTCCGTGAAGCACATATTTTTATTTTATACTTTCCATCTCCATCATGTTTACAATACAATATAATATAATATCATAATTATGGTTTTTTTCGTAAATCTTGGTTTTCATAGAATAGATCTAAGTGAATACCCATCATGTACAAAATAATTCACCTTCCTATAGATTATAGTATCCATGTGTATCTCTCCGGCTTATCATTTAACATATGTTCCTTGTTATCATGGCCAAATTCTTGAACGTGAGTTAAAAAAACTAAACAGCTAGTTTTATCGTAAACGGTGTCGTTTTTTCCTTGGTCGGGTCGTTTACCACTCTGTCTCTTGTATCTTCAATTCTTCATTGCGAACGCGATACAAATTTTTACAATCAACTCATACCTACGCTAACCGTACGAACAGCCATCATGTCATTGTTTAGGTACACGTATTACGATACTCCGGACGGAAAAGACCTCATAAAAAAACTATTCTACACCAACAAACAAATGTCCATCATTGGATTCGGGCTAGCGACATCAGAAATCATACTGGTCAGCAAGCCTTTTGGATATCTGAACACCGCATACAGGTAATAATTATTGCTTATGACAGAAGTAATTCCTTTGTTTTTGTCTATTAAACTGTGTATCTGAAATTTATATACTAATTAATTTTCAGATATGGCCAGCTGATGGGCCCAATGTTCGCTGCCACAACGACGTTCTGTGTAGTAACGCACATTGCCACCAACTTACGTCAAAAAGATGATGAGTTGAACTATGCTATTGGCGGTTTCTCTACCGGTATACTGACGGGTATATTGATAAAACAAAAAATGATTGGTTTTTGGATGGCAGTCACGATGGCGATAGTTGGTGCAACCAAGAAACATTCAAAGCTTAACAATTATGAATTCTATCCTACTTTTCCTAAAGTTCGTAAACCAATATACGGAGATTTCAGAACACCATACAATGATTGGACTCTGTATGAGTATCGACCAAAAGGATGGATAGCTGCCGAAGAACGAAAGCAATAAATTAAATGAAAGTATACCAACAGCAGTTCATACAATAAGTACGTGAGTTTACAATTTAAGTAGTTACGAAATATTCTTGTAATATGTTTTATTTGTTATATATAGTGTTTGATTTGAATTACAAATACATATTGATAAAACTTAATTTTGTTTTTTTTTTAATAAATAGTTGTATAAATTCATAATTGTGTATAAAAAAAAAATTATTCAAGATTGTTTTATAAAAAAATACCTGAAATATAACTATAATTTATTTAAAACTGTTATGACTTATTTGAATTTACTTAAAAAATATAACTAAATAAAATATTTTAGTTTTTTTTTAAACGTATCTTATATTTCCTATTTTTGATTATTAAATATGTTGATTACTTTCATAAATACTTATTGAATTCCAAGGTAATGAACTGATAATTAACTGAAAATGTGTTTTTTCTATTTTTGAATTTTAATATTAATGGTTATAACAATGCTAGAAATAAAAGTTGATTAGATGTAATAATATAGGTATACTTAACAAAATGTTTGTCTGCTACTCTGTTTACCTAAACTATTGAAATATTTATGCACAATTCATAAACTCTAAATTTAAACTTTATATACTAAAATACTTCAAAATATGAAAATAAAAAATATAATATATATATGGTGATTCAAAATAGTTAAAAACTTAAGAATTATAATTCTAAAAAATATTTAAAAAAAAAAAAATACTTCTACTTATTAAATATTTTAAATAATGAGTGTTGTTCAATTAAAGAATCACTGAATAAAACTACTACTATTAAAATCAATAAAATTTATGAGAATACCTATAGAATTTTTATTATGTAATATAGCATAATATTATGAGTACTACAACTTATAATACTAGACTATTGGTTTTGATATAAAAGTTATAGCCACACAATCAAATAGAAGAAATAAGAAGGTTTGTTGCTTAATCAAAGTTCATGATGTATAGTTTTATATTAACAGTATTTATGAAACTTCATCTGTAAATCAACATGTAATTGCTGTTATGTTATCTAAAACTTACATAATATCTACTTACTAATCATACATTTTTAACGCAAATTCTATGTTTCTATTAAGAGTAGTATAGATAATGTAATTTTTAATACTTTATTTCAGTAACAGTTAAATATTTTAGTTTTTTTTAAATAAAAAGTAATTTTGTTTTACTACTTTTTCTTTAATGCTAAGTTCATAAATTTACATCAATATTCTTTAGGAACTATTGCTGCATTTTGTATTAAACGAAATAATTATTTAGTCCATTGACTAATTGATTATTGAAGAAATTAAACAGATATTATTGTTGAATTAAAATTATTATATTTTTACAATAACAATATTATCGTTAATATTAAAACCATTAGGTATAAAAATAAATATAGAAATATTTGAATTTTATTTATTTTTATTATTGAATACATTAATATATAATATTCATAATAATATCAATACTTATGTCTAAGTAATAAAAATTGTTTTTGTTATTTGCTCATAGTATAATGATCATTTGGTATCTTTAAAAACTAATGTCTTATAAATATTTTTACTACTATAATTTTTTCAGTCTTCTTTTAAATATTAAAATTAGCTTGTACTAAAAATAGACAAGTACTAACTTTTATGATACACAATACATAAGATAGTTATTGATTATTAATTTCACAATATAGACTATCTAATAACAATACATATATTATATTAAATGTTGTACCTATTTTTACTGCACATACAATCATATATATTATGTTAATCTCTTAGAAAACTTTCGATTTAGATATATACATTATTATTAGTTATAGCTAACTAGAAAAAAACTACTTATTATATTATGCAAAGTTACATGATTTAAATTAAATATTATTGGTTACTCATCTAGTCATAGGTATCTTTTTATCTCAAAAATGTTTTAAAACTAAAATGTGCAATTTACTACTTTTATTTTATTTCAATACTATAAGACATGAAACCATGTTGCCACATATTAAATTATGCTTTATACATTACAATAGTAATCTGATTTACTAATTTTTTGCTTAATTACTTATTACTTTCTTTTTAAAAACATATATCTAAACGTAGGTATGTAGGTACCTACCTGTTGAATAAATAATGAAATTAATTTAACCACGAGAAAATCATGAAAAATATTCTCATCATTTTATTGAACATTTTATAACTAACAATCTAAGCGCTACAACAATTTATGATTATTTTGTGTTACCAAAATAATTAGACTATAAAGCATTATTATGAAATTTTGAAGCCATTGGTGGATCGCCACCCTCCCCTTCTCTTAGATATTAATTTTTACTATGTATACATATATAATAATACCTACAATTATCAAATTGATATTAAATACAATAATAAACGAATTAAACGTTACCTAATAAAACAATTTCATACAGTTAATTAATGATTAATAGTAAGGGGAATTCCCCCTTACTACCAAGAGATTTATAAAAATTTGAATCCCCTTGGTTGAACCTCAAATACACTACTAGTTATGGGTATATAAGCGAATCGATTAAAATAAATAAAACGGACGCACATTTTTACCTAATAGAGAAATTAACACGATGATTTGTGAATGTACCGGATATAACGTATAATGGATTGTAATTAGCTTTGTCGAGATTATCGAATGCATCCATTTTATGCGATATGTTGGTGTTGGGGTATGTGAGAAGAAACAAGCGTGCAGAAACGCAGTGCAGCATACCTACATACGATGGACGATGGATAAAAATTGTATATTTTAATGTTTTATTATTAAATAAGTATAAGATACTAAATGCAACTCGCAAATGCTTTTTAACGGGATCTCTCATGTAATGGGACACTGTGGTCTTGAGTTGAAAAATGTGTTATACATATACTTCTATGATTTATTATTATATACCTACATAATAATAAATAGCAACAAGACGTGTATGTATAAAATTAGTTTGCACCGAACGGTAGATGTGATTAATCTGTGAGGGAAATCCACTCGCGTGAACATTACAATACTTACTCTTTGGCCGTTTTCCAGAAATATGAAAGTCCGCGGAGATTTACAATGTAACACGCATAATTTCACGATAAAACAACGTTAGTTTTTGGCTTGAAAAAAGCGCAAGACGATATGATATTAATATATTATATAGTTCGTTCACGACCATGGCTGTTATTTTACTTTTATTATTTCAAATGTGTATTTTATTTTTTGTGAGGGGTGCATACAAAAGTATATTATGGAATATGAAACACAACCTCAGATTTTTTTTAATCTTCGTACATATTATAAATATATTCGATTTTAAACAATATATTTATGTATATCTGCCGAGGCACAGACTATAAGAATGACAAAAGCATTTTATGGATATGGTATTTGTCTTTCGGAGAACGAATGCGTCTTTACACCGTTTCGATAATACACTAGAATTTAACAAAACTTTAATGCTATAAAGATTTCGGAGCTGACGCGTTTATGGTACAAAACTTTGTCTAACAAGACAAATTTTACACTTTATGAAATTGATTTTAAACATTTTGTTTTTACTCGAAAAGTGAAGGTTACATTGAACACAGATTAAATTATATAAGTATTCAAAAGCTGTAAAAATCATCTATATAATATTACAAATTACGCACGATATTAGTATATAATGGTTAATAAATATTAATAATACGAATATGTAAATTAACTAACTACTTTGAAGTTTAGGTCATAACTTAGATACTTTTTAAGTAGTATCTAATAGATAAATCCTGTAAAACGCATACCTGTAATAACTTATTATACCTTCTTAATCATAGTTGTGTAACATAGACTAAGTACCTGTAGATGACATTTAAGTGTCATAACTGGGAGAAGAAGTTTCGAGCCGTATTGAAGTTTGATGGCGCCCTTGGCGAATTACTGCCCTAATGGAAAATTTTCGTTTATAAAAAAAAAAACATTTGAAATATACAGGCAATAACTAATAAACTTTAATAAATATCTATATTTATATTACTTTAAAACATAAACAATTAATCCGTCATAAAAACTTGAATTTATTTCATCAATTTTTTTTTTTATTATCAAATCAAATAATAAATTAGTTAATTGTTTATGCTTACCAGTAAATATCAACTGAAGTATCTCTATCTCTTAATATTTAATTATTCTCAAAATATAATTACACAGCCGTATGGAACACTACAAGCAAACAACAATAGAAGGTATTTTCCGAATAACAGGAAACATACATTTCGTATAAGTACAGTTACACTATATACCTACCCTACAAGAATATTACCCCCATATCTATTATACATAAACTTTATAGATATGACATGTAAAATTAATTTTTAATATTTCAAATTTTGTGCTCCAAGAACTTTAACATTAATAATTTTTATACAATAAAAATATAGCAAAACTCTACGCTATTAGTTGTTATAATAAATAGAATTTTTTCAAATATTACCTAAAAATTATTACATAAGTAGTAATAAAATTTACACTCTTGGTCCATGCTCTCTTGCCTTGCTCTGAATATGTCCCTGGGCTCAAAGGTTGAATAATCTCAGGACTTTTGATATTAAATCTTAATTTATCAACTATCGTATACTACATCAAATTTTGTATTTTAACTATCAATTTAATTCTGATGAGGAGTACCTATATAATAAATAATAATACATGAAAATGTACGGTTATTCCTAATATTCCTACAAATTCATTCTCCCATTCTCCCCTCTGTGAATAATCGAGAAATATATCACAATACATGCATAAAGATACGTTTGTATATACATATAAGAAATACGTCACTTGTAATACTTCAGGCCTCGGGCGACATTTAACACGACATAGATATTTATTTGTAGTTTGATAAGCTAAGGTGTTAGATGCTAAAAAAACTTGCACCTATTACGTATCAACACAATGGATGTATATTTCATTGAAATATATCATATTATTGGGTTTTATTTTACTTATTTTTCAACATCGTGCAACCATACAGTAGGTATTGCTTTTTAACGTTTCACATTTCAAATGTAATTAAAATTTTAAACCAATTCAAGTGTAATTACTTATCGCGTTCTAAAGTTCATTAAACAATTAGAAGCAAAGTTCAGTGTAAGTCGAACAAATCAATAATATATTTTTGACTTTATCAGTTAAATGCATATATGTATACTGTGTACCAATCTTAAGAGGTTTTAACTTTTATAGCAATTACATGTACACCTATATATTATATTATATAAAGTTACTAGTTACTATAGAGTATATATCTTACTTAAATTAAATATGAGTTACAACTTTTTATCCATGATACTCTTTTGTCATTTTTGCTGCTGAAGTTTAAAATTCTCTAACTATATATAAGTACAATTTAAGTACTTAGTTATTACAAATTCTGATTTTCGAAGATAAACTCGAACCCGAACATATTTTTATTATTTTTTGTTACATAATATATTTAATAAATAGTATTTACTATTTATCTCAATACCTATATCTCACTCCTAAACATTTTCAAGATAATATGCATCTGTTCACATCAAAGTTTATAGTGTCGGATAATTTTAGTTAAAAAATAGTATGAATTATCATAAAATTATCAATAATGAAAATTATACCAAGTACTTTATCTGGGGGTTAACATAGCCTCTGCAAAACAACCAATTTTTTAATCTAAAATATCTAATATTTCAGAAGTAAAAACTAAAAATTGACAGTCAAGCCATCGTAGTAATATTGTTATGTATAATGTTACTGCAATAAGTTTTATGACTTTAAAATCGTTTTAGGGTGTTATTTAACCAATCTAAATAACCGATTTTTAAATGGTTATTACATCAAATTAAGACAGTACAATAATAGGACACTCATATAAATTATTTCAAAACAAAATTTCCTTGAATTTAAATTTTTAATTATTTTAAAACTGACTATACCAAACCCCCAAAAAAACTATTGTACTATCATCACGAAATAGATACAATATTTGATATAAATTTCAACTGTTCTGTGATACTATCCTCTTTATACAATTATCAAAATAAATACCTAGTAAATTTAATACAATATAGAATATACATGTCTACAAAAACGAATTCGATTGTAAAGTGTTATTATTCGTCCTAATTTTGTTTTTTGATAGAAAGGATCAATATAATATATCTATACTCAATAGTAATGTATTATCATTATTTTGGGTGAAAAAACAAATCAGCAATATAGTTTCAGGTAAATATTATAACGTGTTTTAATCATGATAAGTGTTTTTATTTGACAAACAAGTTAGTTAATTATTTAATAACATGATCCATACAGCAATAGAGACTACTGACTAGGGTGTATTTTTATGGCAAAAATCTCCATTACAGTATTATTGTTACTAATATTATCATTATTATTACGCGTGAACAACGGCAAAAACAACAGCAACAAAATAGCCGCAGCACGATAACGAGTAAATCAGTAAATTATAAATTGCGATTTGATGATATTACACCACGACATAATATTGTTTCGGATTTTTCAATAGTATTTGTAGTAATTCGACGGCTGTTGGTGATGGTAGCCGATGTCCGCATGTGACTGATGGTAATAGTGTTGGGGCGCTTCGATTTTCTTGACTACAGCGTTGAACCCGTGCTCGCGGTCGGCCGTGTACTCGACCACTCGGGTGGAACCATCGGGTTCCACCAGACTGTACGATCCCTTAACATTACCGTTGCCGTCGCTCACTTCTTGTTGGCTCTTGATGTCCTGTGTGTGCAAATCCTTCACACCGTACTCGAAATGGTATGGGGTGGCGGACGATGAGGAGTGCGCGTAATCGTTGTAGCCAACCTGCAGATGTCCTGCACCGTCGTAGCTGACGTCATCGTCGTAGTAACCCTTGTATTCCGGTGGATAAGCAAAAGCCACGTTATGGCCAAACAGAGTTATGACAGTGGCGAACACTACGATAAACTGTATAAAAAAGAACAATAGGTATACGTTTCAATATTGCATAAACACTTCAGCTGATCCGATTAAGTATAATGCCAACGCATTTACCTTCAATATACCACGTTAATTGAAACCTACAAATATTTTTAACGTGGTCATTTGAGTAATTTTTGACAAGACATATAAAAAACGGTTTTAAAATTAAATCCAGTTAAAATAACTATCTTAATACGTGTAAATAAACAAAAGGAAAATTATGTACTGATAAAAAAATTATTTATTTTTCGTGAATTAACGAATCCGTACTCAATAGCCCCTCTTTAAAATGTGAAATTCAATAAATTGGCTTCAAAGTCCACATCGATCGGTATAAGAAGATATCCTATATTAAATACATACCAAATTTCAATACCGCATATATGCGATGGACAGTCGGAACTCCTCCCTTTAAATATCCATGTATACAGATAATCATGATAAATAAAGTGATGAATAATTATAATTACGAGCTGGGGTGAACTGGGCCACTGCGGGATGTTCAGATCAGTGGTGTAGTTGGAGTAGAAAAATCTCCTTTTTTAAAAAACAAGTATAGTTTTTGTCCACTACTCATTAAAATATCAACTCTTTTGAAAACCCTAGAATTATGAATATACTTACTTTGATCACAGAACAAACAAATGGCTTAGTTTTTTTACCCGTTCTGGTCTTCCGGCATTGATCCAAGACTAATGAAAACATTCCACGTGGCCATATTTAACTACTAAAATTTCTTAAATACTGAGAAATATTTACTTCTGACCTCAAAGTACTAACAATATACAATTTTCAACAGAAACCACCTTTAAAGTTTCATTAAAAAATTTGTACTGCTTTAAAATGTCATAACAAAAAAATATGAAAAAACACATCATTCTGAAATTAATAAATTTATTACTCCGTTCAAAAAGAAACATAGAATAGTATGATATATTTAGATATAATTTTTTCTTTCAAATTCCCTTATGACTTTTAACTTTAACGTGAATCCCTGGTTTTCAACATAAATATATTTTTAAAATAACAATGTATTGTATTATTTAGTGTTTAATATGGGTGCACAAAACTACAATTGTTATAAATGTATAATATTGTTCAATTAGACATAAAATATGATACGTATTTTAAAATATCATGCCAAATACATTTCTGGATATATCATTAGTAGTACATTTTTCAAATTATTTTTTTTTTGCAAGTACACACAATATTATAATACTATATGCATAGCATACATTCCAAACCTATTTTAATATCATTGTGATAGCCATAAAATTTTATTTTATTATAATATTTAATATAATTTTATGAGAAATTAATCGTCTCTTTACTATCAGAAAATATTATTTCGAATATGTTAACAAGCACTAAACCATTTAATTTATAAGTAACAATAATAAACATATGATAGAATTATTTTCTATAAATTGATTACCGTCTTCACAGTAACATTCTTATTTTGGTATATCTATAATCTATATAGATACGTTTGGATACTTTAGCTGATCATAGACATGCACTTAACTTTTATTAATAATTTAATAAATAGTAAAATAAAATCTACAGTTGTAATGTCTCAAACTATTTTAAAAAATTCCCTAGTGTTATTCTATTCTTTTCCATATAATGTATTTAATTTTGACATCTTTTTTAAATTAAATTATATAATTAACTTAGTAGGTACTTATCTCTATTAATAATTGTATTAATTTTATGATATTTTTTAAAAATGTGTGACTTTTATTTTAAAACTAAAACAAAGTAATGAACTATTAATGAACAATTTAAATTGAGATTCGACCATAAAAAATATTAAATAAAATAATAATACATAGGTATTAAAAAAAAAATGTCAATGTAAAAAGGTAAACATAACTTAATAATCTTACCTTGGTAACCATTTTGAGAATCTTGTACATTAAAATTGTAGGTAAGATGAATATAAATCTTTATTTTAAAAAATAAATCGAAAAAAAAAATACTGATGCGTATTCAAAGTTTGCTTACAGTATTTATACTACAATGCCTATATCCCACTCATTTGATTGTTCACCTAGATTCTTGAATTAAATTATGTAGCCCAATTACATCAGCTCATTAAGAAAAAGTTACACACATAATCGTCTTCCTTGATTACATTACCTATATATTATAAATGTTGCATAATATATTAATTAATTGTATAGTACATTAATTAGCCTTTTTTTTTTAGTAAAAAAAATTTTTTATTAATTTTATTACGATAAGTACATTTAGGTCACATGCGACGCTATTGACAAATTTAATGAACCTATTTTAAATTTTAATTGCTTTATATGCTATTTTACCGTTTAAATTACTTTTTACTGTTATTTAAAAATGTTCTAAAAATATATAAGTATTTTATAATATTTATTGTGGATTACTAAAAAAAAGTCAATTTTGGACATATGGCTATAAAAGAGAATTAACTTATTCTACATTTAATATTATAAATGTATATTAAAATAGTGTATTGAATTAGTCTTTCTATTAAGACTTAAGTAATTATACAATTCTTGGGTATTAAATAGAAATAAATAGTTTCAATGATATTTATTTATTTATTTTTTTTTGCAATTCAATATTTGTTTCTAGTTAGTATTGAATTAATATTGTAAACATGATGCGATAGACAATTTTAATGAGGTTTTCAATGAACATGGCAGAAAATTTACCGAGCCACACGGCTACTAAAAACAACAAATATGTTAACAGAACGTTAATACCATGTGCCCACTACAACATGTGTACAAAATTATTATAATACAAACACGATGCGTGCTTTTCATGACATAGAATCAATTGGTTTGTTGGCGGGCAGTGATGGGTACCTACAATAGTGGTATTATTTACCCTGAACTCGACCGCCCGTCAGACCATAATTGTTTTGGACCTGAGCTCCAAGCTAAACAATATAAATACAACAATATATATGCTATAACTGTAATACTGAACATTACAGCAGCTGAAGTCATACATGCCTCTCTAGATCGATTCGTCGTGTCTCATGAGTAATAATTATTATTCGTTCGCTGCTGGCTCATACATAACAATATTAAATTTAAGTGTCGTATTGAAAGAGCTTAATTTCAGAGCCATGGATGAGTTTACGAATAATTTTGACAGTTAAATAAATAAATAGTTTGTAGTGCTTCTTCAACTAAAGTGTTTGATAAAAAAGTATTAATTAAAATAAGACATTATAATATTATATAATACTACCTAATTAAAAATATATATTATGTAATAGGTTTACACGTCTACCATTCTATATAACCCCAAAACTTAACTAATCTAAATAAAATAATTATATAGCTGCAATAATCTAAGTATAAATTGTAGTAATGTGAATAATACTGGAATAGTTGAAATTTTGAATAATAAGACCCTGTTGGAAATATTTTAATAATACTTCTTTGAGAAACTCAAAATATTATTAAAGCATTTTTCTGTGTTGATGCAATATTATCTGAACAGAAGAAACGGATAATATTCTGTTTCGTTACAGTTTGCACAATTTTATAAGAAGAAAATGAAATTAAAAATCAAAAATATATTTACAAAAAATTGTTATGTCCTTTTATAATTTTGATCATAGTTTAAGCAATTGAGTATCTATACGATTAAATACTTTGTAGATAGTAAATCAAAAAAATAAAATTTATAACCTGTTAAAAAATTACTATTATTTATCACATCTATAAAGATATTAATATTTGTGATTTATTTGTAATATTATACTGATCATTAATTTTTATAAGAATATAGTAATTATTTTAATAGAATAAAATAGTATAGAATATACAATCCTATTCATTAGGGTGTACCTTAAAGTTCTTAATTATTTCTATAATATAATAACATAATACTTCATTTTAAAATTAATTCCTCGAAAAAATCATTAAATCAAATTATTATAAAACATCTATATCTATATAGTATATATGCTATAAAAATACAAATAGGTATGGATGTGATAAAAAAAAACTGAATGAAATGACCAAATAAAAATTTAATTTTCTACTAAAAACACAGATTTTTGTAATAATTATTAATTTATTTCTAAAAACAAAATAATGATAATTTAATATTAATTTTAAATAGGTAAGTAGTAAATATTTAATGCATAATATAATTTTATGAATATGATCCCATTTTACATTATTTGAATAAAATGTACTTAATAGTGATTTCAATTAAGTTTAATCGGTCTTGACCTGTAATATTGATCTTTGAAATATTCTAAGTAAATTTTCTAACTTAAATACTGAAATGCCTTTCTGCCCTTACCTACTATAGTCATCAACATGGTACAAAATAATCGGAGACTTATACAAACTTTTCCAAACAATTATTTGTAAATTATTCACGTAAATGAAGTTTATCTAATAGTTCAAAGGGTACCATTATAATTTGTTAGAAATTTATTTTACTTTTACCCAGTTCCAACAAAATGATTCGAAATTATTTGATGATATTGAGTAATGTATACAATTAGTATAAGATAAAAAGATTTAACTACACATTTTTAATTCTTTTTTTAATTTTGTTTTATTAATATTTTGTGCTTACCGATATTTATTTAATATATTTATTTTTTAGATGTCTAAAATTAGAATTTTATTCTAAGTTATAAGTGTTTTTCTTTAATATTTTTTGACCATATAATATTCTAATGTATAAATTATTTTGTTAATCAATTATGATTTATTTTTCTCATTATGTTTTTGACCAAAACTATTATAGTTAATTATTTTTAATGTATACCATCAAGGCAATACAAAATTGCAAAAAAATTCATTCTATCATTTTACCGTTATAAACTTTAATTTATATTCAAATAGAACATAAAAGTTAATTAATTAATTTCCGTTCAACTACTAAGATAAAATAATTGGCCAATTTATAATATTATAATATATTTTAAGTTAGATAAAACTAAGAAAGCATCTAGTAATTTAGCTAGTTTAATATATACGTATATTATGTGTTTTGAATTTAATCAAATCATTTAAAACGATTTTGATAATAATTAGCTGATATATTATTACATACTAAATATTAATATCTTTAGATTAAAAAAAAAAAAGCGTAGTCGTAGTTAGCACTTAAAAGTAGTCAAGTTTATGTAAGTACAGTGTTAGTTACAAATATTTAATCTGTGGGAATTATTTTTATTTCATTTATTTAATTTATAAGTGACGTGTACCACGAGTATTCATTAATACAAACTAGTATGATAAATAAATTGCATTGATCAACCGTTTTAATTTAGAAAATTTATATTCTTATGGGACAACGTGCATCTATTTTTGATAAACAAACTATTATATCCCTGGAAAAAAGTACAATTTTAATTTAAATTGATTCATTAATATAAAAGAAAATGTACAAAAACCAATGCCAGGACTGTTAGCGTATTTTTCTTGAATTAAACTCTGATTGAGATAAATATACAAGTCACAAGTCTAGGTCAGAAAAAGCGGGAAAATATTGATTTAGCTTCCCTAAGTTCTCCTCTAAGTAGATTAGGCCACTTTTTTTTGGAATACATCACACTAAAAATAACTTACTACATGTATACCATGTTATTTTGTAAAAATTTTAAATTCATGTGAAAATGATGTAAGAAATGTCTATGTATTTTTGTAATTTATATACGGATATAAGACTAACTTATATGGAATCTCGTACAAAACTTTCAACCTAATGAAAAATTTCCTATCCATATTCATAAGAAAAATACTTAAACAAATATAAAATTTCTTGTATCTAAAAAAAAAGAAAAAAATATATACAAATAGCTTTAAATAGCTCAAAAAAAAAATCAAAATTTTATTATGTATAGAAAACAATAGTATAAACGGTTTGTTAAAATCTTAAATTTTTACGGCTCTTTATTTTTATATTACAATAAATAACAAAAATCATTTGAGAATAAATAATTATTGTACATTGAATATCTATTGTCGTAAAAACCTCAAACGTTTATAAAAAATTGATTTAACTTTCTGCGGATAATTTTTTTTTTTTTAATAGGTTGCATATTATTTATACAACCCTATATATTAAATTTTCAAATTTTAAATACAATCTGAATTTTTTTGCGAATTTCCTACTACAAAATAATGGATAGAGTTTTGATATTTTTGCGAATTTTGTCAAAACCCTAACTTAAAATTCTTATAAACAAAATAGAAAATTTCAATTTTCTTGAAATCGCTCAACAAAATACAAAATATTTTGAAAATTTCACCATATTAAATAAAAAAGTATTGTATAAATACTTAATAAAAATTATAAGTTTTTAGAGTTTTATTGTTTTTACTGTTTATAAAAAAGTACTAGGATTTTTTTTACTTTTGACTACCTAAAGTAACAACTAAATCCAATTTGTTACCAACAACCACCTACATTATTAAAAATCGATAAAATAAAATTTTTATTGTCCCAAAAAATGATGACAGACAAAAAAAAAAAATAAGCACGCATCATTGTAAAATAAACACATTGATCAAAATCTCAAAATAATTCATATAATGATATTACAATTATTGTGTTAAAATAATACTTGTGTATCAATGCTTATAAATAAATATTTATTAGAACTTTTTTTTTAAATATTAATAATATTAATTTACCACGGTGTACAAATATTGTTGGCGTTTATTTAATACTAATATAATTATGATTGCACGGCGACCTGAATAGACTACTTTAACTACACCAATATCTTAGATTCACTATTTCGATATATTGTCTAGTCATATTACACGATACACACGTATTCCTAAGACAATTTAATAATTTAATATAAGTATGACTTGTTATGAATTAATTTGACTTAAAACGTTTGAATAAATTATAATGAATTAAAATTTTTTCAATAAAAAATATATACATTTTTTTTTTTTTTTTATAGCTATAAAATATTGTACAAAATTGTATAATCTCTTATAACTATTTCTAATTTATATATTCCTAAATTAGTTACCTCAGTATTTGAAGTACTGTAGCCACAGTATAAAATAATATTAGTATGTTAATTAATCATCATATTTTATTTTCACATTTTTTTTCATTTCTCGCCATCAGTTTAATACACTTCTAAATCACAGTTTTAATTCAATAAGTACATATCTTATTACCGATCGTGAGATATGTGTTTTACCATTATCATTATAACTAGTAAACTAACGCTAGATCGATATGTATGAATAATATATCTATTACATAAATACCATTTTATCATAAAACAAACGACGATAATATAAAGCGAACAAACCGTCCAAATCTCCGGTCATTAACAGACCACACACAATCTAACTTCCTATTCAAACAAAACACACACTATTAACCAAATTTAAAAATGTCTTCACTATACACAATCCACTCTTCTCCGGCCCATGGTAAAACTCTCTCTACAAATACTCCTTTCCCCACTATTAATCCTTTTATATCTTCATCAACGCAACCTCCCTCATTTTCATCCATCCCAACTCCCGTAAAACGTAATTTAACTAAAGATATCCCTACAACCAACTACGGATAAAAGTATAAAACAGAATATCAAATTACGCATTTGTAGCGACCAATAAAAATACTCCCTGTAGTGAGCGGCCTATCGTCTCTAACACAATTGACAGGATACCACTAAAAGAATATGTCGTGATAAATAAGATGATGACCATATTATTGGCCTCAAAAATATCAAATTTTATTCGAGAATCTGTAGTAACCCTTTTTATATATTTCTTTCAAATAAACAAATACTCAACTCCTTATAGAAAATACTCCAACAATAAAAATAAATAATAATATAATTATTAATCAAATTTAAATCATATCTAATATATGCCCTTTCATACATCTCACCAAACAATACTAAACGTTTTAAAAAACTGGATATTATTTCTAAATTACATATCTATTATCTTAAATCTGATATCAACAAAAAAGGATACGACCATATAATGAATATTCACTAGTAAAAATGCATAAAACATGAAAATATAAATAAACTTCCTGGGTCTTTAACAATTAGTCAAAACCAAATAGAAGTCAGAAATGTTTTCACAGATGACAAAATCACTTATGCTTCGTGAGTAAATCCGCAAGCTGAATTTCCAACAAACAAATAAAACCCTACAAATTCACTTAGCCTTACGCAGTTCTCACAATCGGGTTTAACAGGAGGAATGGACACACAACTTAATGAAATAACATATGGACATCCCGCAAAATATACAATTAGATAAACGACTGGAACAAATGTCAAAAATCCGTATGAATATAGAAAACGAACCAAAAACCATAATCTTTCTTACATCTCAAATAATTCTACCAGGTTTAGTTAGGTTACACAATAATTTATTTTACAATAAATTTACTATACCTGAAACTTTCCATCTCACCTGTCGAATACATATATGACTTTTTCCTCTCCCCATTAACTACCACTGGATTGAAAATAGGAAAAAAACTATACACATAAATGGAACCATCAAAACACATTACTTAGGATTCACTATCTCTTAAAATCAATAATCTCGTCACACTCGCATAGATTTATAAATACACCAACGTTTATAAACTCAATTGTGTCGTTTAATAAAAATAATAATAATAATAATTAACATAAAATAATGAAAGGAATAAAGGTCTTTCTTATGAATGTACAGATTATCTAAGTACATAATCTCCTACCACATGAAATAATCTATATGTTGAATTATATATTTATACACTATACATAATTTTATACCCTTAATATTTTTTAATTAGAAATCATTTATGTTAACAGTTGACGTATGCATCGATGTATACATAAATTATTCTAGTCTTTGTAAAAACAAAAGAAAAATAATTCTTTAAAATTTGAGTTTCAAATAAAATAAGTTCTTGTTAAATACTTTTACAAAAATATAAATAGGTATTACAAACGAAAACACCTCTATGTTGTGATGAATTGAGATTGAAGTCATTCATATGTTATGTGATATTCACTAAAAAAAAAGCTTATTTTCAAATCCACTTACAATCTGTTAGTAAAAGTAATGGATCAATTATTTTCTATTAAAAATATTTTTATTTCATTTCTTAGCTCAAAAAATCGCGATAAGACTTTCCCACAGCTAAGCCATTGGACTGTTGTAAAATATGGTATATTTAGATACTCTGTTTCTATTTCTTTCAAAAAGTCTTGAAATTGACGATGCCTAAAGTGAACTCGAGTGGATAAAATTTATTGTTGATATAACTGGATTCATAACACATGACAAGTTTAAAGTTTTCCAAACAATAACTGCTGATGAATAATACAAAGCAAATTCTTTGATTTTAAATATTATTTTTCACAACTCGTAAATATCTGATCAATTAAACCTTTTTTTTTTTTTGTATCACACATAATGTTTTTCACAATTACTAGTAATATATTTAATATTTTTTCATTTTAATTATGCTGTAAAAATGATTTTTATTTAGCTTTAAATATGCCTATGCTTGTTGTAGTTTAATGCGTGAAAGTGGTTCATTTGAAACTTCTAAATCTTTATTAACATCGCGAATAAACAAAAGTAGCTGCTACGTGTCACATGCATGTGTTGACTCGTCAAGTGTTATGCTAAGCGAAATGAATTCTTGAGCTTTATTTTAAGCCTGAAAATTTAAATTATTAATAATATCGTAAATTTTACGGATGACTGTATAAGCAAAAAGGCTAATATTTTTAAAAGTATCAATTTTTTTCTGGATACATTTCTATAACTGCTTAAATGACGCATTCTTTTATTAAACTACCACGAATAAACTTTTTTTTTTTCCAATAAAGGTGAAGTACAAAAACTATCCTTATTAATATATTATTTTGTTCTTTAAATAAAAATTGTTATGATGAAAAATTATTATGAAGTTACTGCAATTTATCTAATTAAACATATTATTTGGTTACCTATAAATTAACAAATAATCTAACTTTTCATTAAAAATAAAACCTTCTGAATCTATTTTTCTTTTCGGTCCTCTTCTTGACGTTTTAAGTAAGTAAATTTTAAATTGGTAAGTAAAATAAATAAGTGTTTTAATAAATTCGCTAAAAACGTAAGTATAAACGTAGAGATAACTGAACAGACGTTGTCTATAAATTTCGACAATGTGGTTAATCTTTTTTACAGTTTAAATGTATCTAATCGTTCAGCTCGTAAATTATGATCCAACCAATACAAGTGATAATTGACACGTGTACGCAATAACAACTAAATATTACACATTATTTTGAATTCTTACCATCTTTTGGAGGGCTGGTTAAAACTTGTTCACGGGCTGTGAGCCGTAGTTTAGAGACCCCTGATTTATAATATTAAATTGCTTGTTTTAAAATTACGGTTATTGGTATACTTGTCAATATTATAACAGTCGTAATTTTAGGTTTTTCCCATAATGTGAATTACTTATTTTATGGGTTTTAACTTAAATTGATTACACAGTATAAGTTAATAATGTTAATGGTGGTTATAAATTCAGTGTAGATCCACACTGTGTAATTAGTAATTAACTTTATTATTAAATAATAAATACTCATACTTTAACTTAGATATACGTTTTACCGTAGTAGTACAATTTATTAGAGAATTTGTTATTTGTTTTATCTACTAACAATATTAGATAGGGATACAATTAAATATAAAATATGAAAAACCATTTATTATGTAAATGTAATAATTTTTTGCAGTAAAATGTCATACAACGATATCGTATTTCGAATAATTTTATGAACTAAATAACGCTTAAAAAATTGTAATAAATGTATGTAACTTACATCATATTACAAAAAATGCATTTATTGTTAACTTCAAAATTAATTGATTACCATTTGATTTTAATATTAATTATAATATTAAGATGATTCGTCTGATGAAATTTCAAAACCATACTATTACGATAATATAACATAATAACTTTTTGCTAATGTATCACAAATCTTCTGACAATTACGTGGATATGATAAAATGATATAAATACACATTAATATATCGTCAACTATAACTATGGGATATTAAAAAAAAAAAAAAAACACTAAAAATGTGAACTACAGATTATTGTATAAAATCATTTCATTCTATATTATCTATTATTATGTTAACATATATTATTAAAAACGTTACATTTAAAAAAAAAATATAGGAGCTGCGTTTTACAAAATTTTATATTCAATTGCAACGCAACTTTTATATTATATACATATGTTTACTCTAATAGAAATATTGTATGAATATTAATTATTACTAATGAACTTAATTTTTAAATAACCATTGTAGTTTTTATGTACCTATTTAAAATTTCGTAAGATTAACTTAGAAATTTCTTAAATTTCACATTTCATAGTATAGTTATTAGTTGTGTTGTTACATAATTACATTATCTATGTAATATATTGTATAACATCTTTGTTGTAAAATAAATATATTATACTCCATTACACCAATATATCCTTATTTACCTACGCATAATGTTGTAAATCTAAATAGACGAATAAAACGGTTTACAATGGTCAATAAATTACAAAAAGGATTTACATGAAATCATGTGAACATTGTAGATAATATAAAACAAGCTTCGAACAACCTGCGTTTTAGTAGGTTACTATAACATGGTAAAATAATAATTGGAATATCTGTACATTTTACTCAGGTAATGTGTAAAATTCTGTATTTAAAACAATTATTTTAGTTTAATAAATAATAATATAAAAAGTAAATCAATTAAAAAGTAAATTAAATTTATAGTACAAATATTACAAAATCTTTTGCTAACTCTTAACTAAACTGTTCCCGAAGAGAATTTAACTTAGTCTCAATCGGGGCAAAAATAACAATCAATACTAAGGCTGATGTAATTATAACAATAAACAGCACGTGAATGAACAGCCAGAATTTTCGGAATCCAGAATGCTAAAAAAAAAAAGTATTATGTATAATAAAAAATAAATATGTAATGCTAATTATATTTTGTGCATACACTACGCCACAATAATTATGCATTGATGTGATTAAGATTTCGTAAAAAAAATAAATGTATCATATATAAATAATATAATGATACAATATATATTATTTATATATATATATGTAAATTATCGAAAACATAATATTATAACAGATTTGGTTTGGCAATTCACTAACCGGTGCATCTTTGTGTTGTTCGTAGCTCATCGGACTTCTTCCGTTGTGAAGATCTTTCATAGGAAACGTGTTTATGCGCATGCTTCCTGATTTTTCACTCAAGCAACCGGATATCTAAACCACAATATTCAATCGATAAATGATCAATAAGTGTACGAATAAATTGGTAAAAAACACTGTAACATAAATATATACATTGAGTGTAGTTTGTGCTTACCGACAATATTAAATGAATGATAACGTAGAAGCCTACGTAAGCCACTAGTATCCAATCCATCCACGCAGGAAGTTCGGCTTTGCTGAGTGAGACAGCAAGAAATATGGTTAAGACTACGAACATAAAAAAAACACGAATGTGCGTATGAGAGACGTAAATCGTCGATGGGATTATAAAAAATAAAAATACGTCGAGAAGACTACTCACTGGCGAATATATGAGCGGCGTTTCCAACCAGCCAATGGATCCAATTGAAAATCGGTCTCTTCGATGAGTCAGGATGCGGCCGGAACGCTGCGAAAATTGGCTGGAAAAATGCCAACACGGTAGTGACAACTCCTAAAAGAGCGTGCGTTTGACTAGGACCGGACACCCATTCGCCAAGTTCCACAAATATGCAAGCTGACCCGGCCAATGAAAGGATCCAAGTGAACATCATTAGCAAACGATGCCACTGTGGGTTGAAAAATAAAATAACATGTTTATTGTTTTTATCATATACTGACACAGCATAATACTATATTATTCTATAACAAATACTATTATTATAATATATCAGTGAATTTTTACAAATCGTGCATTTATACGTATTTTAAAACCCAAAAAATATGTTTTTGGAAATTTGAATACAAATAGAATAATATTTATATTTTAGCGATACAAATTTTATCAAACAATATTTATTATAAATATGCGCACGGTAAAATAAAATAATCACAGATTCGATTTTATTATCCCGGTTTAGTTAAAACCATATGAAATGAAAATTTTGTTTTTTACACAACAGTAAATATAGAAACTGCAGTGTACAATATATAATACGTACAGTACAATATCAATTTAATTATTATAATACAAAACGCTTTCTTAGCAACTTACCCCAAACCACAAGTCCTTGGAACAACACGAACCTCCGACCCACGTCTGTTTGTAATACCGAGCGACGACTATACCTATGCTGGCCGCTCCAATCCACGCGACAATCATAAATGAACCGTGTAACCTCAAAAGCAACTTTGACGAGGTTCTCAATGATTTGATTTCCGACAACGCACTCGACTCGGCGGTTGAGGTATAGGCCAAGTCATGGTAGCCAACACTCCGTTCTGGAGTTCAAGCACATAACACATTCATTTAATAAATTACAGTTATAATTTTATTTGTTTTTATTTTTTTCTGAGATTATGATAATATTTCTGTTGTTTTTATTATCATCATCGACATCATTATTGTTATTATTATAGATGTCTTTCATCTGTTTTACCTTTTAACGATGTTCCGGCGGCGATCAGTAAAAAGTATTTATTTCTGATCAGATCATAGTTGACTCCTTCTACTTTAGTGACAGCGTCCCGTACGACATTACAGTAAATCGTACCGTCGATAAACGATGAGTTTAATAGTGTGAGTCCATTTTGGCTCTATAAACATACAAAGTGAATATAACAAACATTTTTAAAGCACCGATGCCATGTTTAGAGACAAAAATATGCTGCTCACTGTTAAACGTTTGTTGCTCTTTTGATTAGGAACGTTCCATGACATATAAGCTTTAACCAGATTCGTACCGACGTTTTCGTGGACGCATTCCATGACGCTGTCTCCTCCCTGAAAGAAGAAAAAAATTAACGTCATTAAAATAGAATCATTTGCATTGTATTACGTAACTCGTTCGATTTTTTACATTGTCGAATACGTGACTATTATATCCATATATTACGACAATAATGTAGAGATTTTAATAAATAATAATATAATAACAATAACAATGATCGACCACAAAACAGTCACTATCCATGTTTTTGTCCTCGGATCCACAACTAAAATTTAACCAGGTTCTCAATAACAAGTCGCCCATATTTTACAAGACTATGCCTTGGCTATTAACGTCTTCCATTTCATTCTTTCGATTTTTTTTCGTAACAATTCCGCTTTGTTCGCACTGTACTATGAATAATATACTTTTAACCTTCAACATCTTCCCACTTAAAATAATCAAAGATTTCGGTTGTTTCCATCATTGAAAAATTATAATATACCTTTAGAACCCCGTAATAATTGGCACTATTTTCGATTCTCTTACTATGTTTTTTTTTTTTTTTTTTTTTTTTTTTTAGTAAATAATTGATTAGGTAAGTATTGGTTTGTGTTTAAATCAGTTAATTAAATGTCTTGTTAAATTGTTATCATTTTTATTTTTATTTGTATGTTTTTTAGGTATAATATACGATTTAATTTCACATAATTTCCTTAAAAATAATAATTAATTTTACAAATTATAATGTATAACGTTCACTTACCATCTTTTGATCATCCGAAATACCGACGGCCACATAAGCAGCGTTTCTAGCTTTCATTTCAAACATGTATCTGGTCCCTTCGACTTTTACGGCTGTCACAGCAGCGCAGTCCTGTGTCGACAAGCAACCGTCCGGCGATCCGAAACACGTTTTCGTCTGACCACAGTTGTCGTAAAACGGGTCCATTACACGAGCCGCTCTCAACTGACCGAGTTTCCTCTTGTCGGGGCTACTTATGAACGCTACATCATGGTAACCAACGCTGAACGCTGCACGAGGGTTTTAAAATAGAAATTGTTATTAGGACCAAACGTTTATTTTTATTTTGCTACAATTTGCGTACTTTTTAGCGAGGCGCCAGCGGCCAACAGGACGAAATAATCGTTGTTGTCCAGGTCATATGTATTGTCTTCCACTTTAAAAACGGAATCCACAACAATTTTACAGTAAATAGCACCGTCGATGATTGAGGCGCTATCCAAACTCACGCCCGACAAGTCTTCAACGCGTTGGTTTTGCTTTCTATTGGGAACATTCCACGATTTGTAAACACTTACGCTGTTACTACGGCCACTCTCTTTATGAACACATTCGACAACGCCATCGCCTCCCTAATGAATAAAAGCATATTATAAGGTTTTGTTGGAAAACCTTAAGTTAAACGAACGCACACTATTGCACAATAAATAATATTTGGTGAAAATCAATTGTTTTTAAAATCACAATCGATACTTTTAACTGATAAATTACTATATAAAAATGTAAATATCGCAAAAAAATATGCTTATCACAGATAAGTTTAATATTATTTTGAAAAATACAATCTGCATAAAGCATTATGTAATATGTAATATAAATATTATAACGATTACGTCATATTGTAGGTTTTTAGACTAATTTTACTTTGTAACAAATTTAAACAACTATTCGCCTTTTTTTGTTTTTATCGATTACAACTAAAAAGTTACCATACGAAACTATAAAGTTCATTAATTAATCATCATGTAAATTATTACATTACATGTTTTCCTCAAGAGTTTTCTAAGTTATGATTAAAATCTTAAATTAAATATTAAATGTAAAACCATTAAAACAAACATTTGTTTATCCGTTAAAATTAAGAAAAGTTTCACAATGAAATTCTTTGAAAACACTTAGAAGACAAGAATTTATATTTACCTAATGGGCCAACCTATCATAAATAAATTAAAATTGGATTACAATAAATTGCACTGTTCAGAATTTATTATGTGTTAAAAATAATTGTATTGTTATAATGTATGACGTGACTATTAAAAATGTAATACTTTTCTAAGGACAGGTAATATGTAATTTGAATATTTAACTAACAATTACTATATGTTTAAACTACATTTTAAATCGGTGAATATTTAAATAATATACCATTTTATTATCGTCCGAAAGTCCAAAAGCCACGTATTGGCTATCACGGGCCATCATTTCAAACTGATATTTGTCATTCGACGGCATCAAAGCTACAACTGCTCGGCAATTCATCGTTTGAATGCAACCAAGAGGAGCTCCAACACAGTTCTTATTTTTTCCACAACCATCGTAAATGTTTGCCTCGATTTCTTTGAGACCCTATTAACGTTTACACAACATTGCTTAAGTATTGTCTCAATTTATGATACGATAACAATAGTAAATATAATCTATAAAATATACGTATTATATATATTTTTAAAGTGGTTTTACATTTTCTGATCTGCCGATTTCTGTAGGTCCGGTTACCGGAGGCCCGCCATTTGCACTGTTAACCTGAACTGGATTCGAAGTTATTCCAACCCAAAATGTTGCGTAATCAAGTAACACAGTAGCCCTGCATAAAAAAATATATTTAGTTTTGTCCATATTATAATCATATGATATTATTTTTACGTAATAATAAAAACATAAAATATTGTTGAATTCAGAATATTATTGTGTAAAATGTGTTAATAAAATAAAACTTACACAAAATTCACTTGTCCGTCAAAGTTTCTCGGTGCTTCCCAATCGAATTCTACTGATTTCTTTTTCGTGTTACTGCTGTGGGTCACGCCCGAGCTCTAAACATTAATATTGAATCTATTAGGAAAATCACTGTAATTTAAACATATTAAATAACAATCGGTATTCAAAACATATCTAAAAATAGGATTATCATATAATTATCTCTTTGCTAGAATTATTTTGTGTAAAAGAAACTTTATTACAATTTTTATTGTACAATACACTATAATAACACATTTTATACAATACAATTTTTAAAAATATAAAAGTAATAAAAATAACCAAAATTTCAGTCAGTTCTGTATTTCATACTATAATTTCAACAAAATACAACCTAGTTTTATTATTCTATGTTGGAATCAACTAGATTAACCTTGATCTATACTCTATACATCTCGCTCGTGACTCGTGAGAACGCATTATTGCGATAATCTAGCGTTATCATAACAAGAAAACAACTAAGTACGTACAATTCAACGATTATTTTCACTATTTTACAACACCTGCTCTATAACAATATAATATAATAGTATGCAACTAGTTTCTATTACGTCTGCTTCAATTGCGTTTCGATTTGTCCTGTATATACAAGTAGGTACATATCATCATATCCTCTTCATCTAAGCGTGCAAAACTCATTCAAATTTAATAATCTAAATGGTTTTTATTATATATTATTCACTTTAAACGTTTCACAATACAAGTATTTACGCCAAAAATCGAATAATTTTGTTAAAATATGGACTTAAAATCAAATTTTAAATAAAAATGCTTGAAAAACGTAACATTCAGAGTGCCAAAATTGGCTCTACTAACAATGAAAAAAAGTTATAGTTTCGTTTTTGCTACAAAAAAAATCATCATTTACTTAGAAAAATCGATAGGTTGTTCCAAAGTTATATTATCCAAGTGTTCCGGATTTTTAACTTAAATTATGCAGATATTATGTAGTGGCCGCACTCGCCAATCCACTATGATCCATAAATATATCTGATTATCTCCTATTTTGCGTTATTACTTATTAATTTAATTGTCAACATCAGACTGTATACTTACGATCACTTCGTTACAATCGAGCGTCTGCGAGTCCTGCGGCACCTGGACGAACGATCCGACTGCATCCTCGCCGGTTCTGGGTGATCGAGCCTCAATCAAAAATCCGATGAAGTAGTCGTTGGGCCGCGGCGCGGTGAGGGTGACGCGGATCCTTGACGACGTGGCGTTATCCGACGGCACTATCCGGTACGGGGCAGCAGACACTTGAGCCGCCTTACCGTGACCAGGGATCATGGTACGGCACGTTAGCACCGGAGCGCCGGATTCATAGCCGCGAACGACAAGCATCGAACAGCAGACGACCGCCAGGATGGCGAACGCGGCGACCGCGTGCCGGCTGGTAGTCATCGCGCACAGCAAATCACTGATGTGTCACGACGAATATAATATAATATACGTACGCTGTAATCAATCAAAAAACGTAGGACTTGAGTAAAAGTACAAAAAAAAAAATGATTTGCTTAGCATAATAATGTTATGATAGTGAAGTGTTGTACGGTAAACGATTTATTTACATCGCTAGTCAGGTTACAGTCAGAATGTCAACGATCTCTGTCTGTTCGCGAACATTAATTATTTTATTCGAACGTGACCATTGCGCGGTTAGCAAGTATTTTCGGTCTGACCAATATTATACCGCTATTGCTGAATCATAATTGATTTATTATTATGATATAAATATCTATACCGTTGTTGAAGAATGCCAATGACGACGAATTTTCGAAAACAATTAATCGTACGCCTATACACACAATATTATATTATACAGTTCCACATAACATTCACCCCGTTGGTGACACGTTATAGAATTTTTTTTTTTTTTTTATCAAACATTTATATCATTTTTTAAATAAATCACATTTTTAACGTTTTTGAGTAAATGTATTAACTCGCCGTATACTGAGAATTAAAGTATACACCGTTTTGTTATCAGATGATAATATACAAAAACAATCAACTTACTCAGTGTACACTTTTGCATACATTGTGGATTGTAAAGACGTGGAGATGATATTTTTATGGCAAAGATACAATCACGAATCACGATACAGACAACGAAAATAAATTAGTCTCAATATTTCATCAGTCATTTCACAGCCACTGGGCCTCGTCATACATGCGAGAGCCGCATTTTAGCTTACATTATTTAAATTCACTCGAAACATCCACGATATCAGTATAATGGCACGTATCAATAGCTATTTCCTTATGAACTAAAAGCAATGTAAACTGAAACGCACGCTTATGATATGCGTAACTGTGAAACGGACCTCAGGATCGATTTAAATCAATTGTGCGAAAACGACCACTTGAATATGATGATTATAATATTCTTCGATACCTGCAAACGTGTGTTATAAGTCAAAAAAACATTGTTGTCTTCACCAAGATTTGGCAAAACGCAATCGCGAACATAAAAATCATGATTAAGTGACAGTAATATTTTATGACATTTTTTCTATAATTGATAGATGAATCGTGACTCTTCTAATTGGTTAGTATTATCTTTATTTATATAATAATGTTTAGCTGTGAACTCCAAACGTCACTGCTACGTATCATATACATATAATATATTATATATATATTATTTTATTACGCACAAACTTTTAACTATTCGCCAAACTGTAAAAAAAATCACCACCCACTCCCGAAGATCACGTCATCATGATATTATTAAAATTCCTAATTGCTTGCTACAACGCCGTCATCTTGGGAAAAGGGTTTATCTACCGAGAGGATTTCTAAAATTACGTGACTTAACGTAAATATTTAATATTGGTTTTATTTAATGATTTCATAACCCCTACACTAGCCGAAAATATGTACGGCTTTAGGTTGCTATAACAATCTCACGGACAGTTGTCCGTAGTATTTCCAATAATGACTTATTTTTGGAAAATGATATTTTAATTTTGGTATTTATTTTTAATAGGAAAGAAATGAAATTTAGAATAATTTTATGATAGTCTCCCTGGACATTTTTAAAAAGTCGAGTTTTCCAGTTAATGTAGCAAGGCCTTCATTGTTTATCAATGATAAATTATCAATATTATAAATTATAATAATCATGTTATTTTAAGTGTATAATATATAATAAACTAAACCCGCCCACCACGATGCCTCTTTGTATGAGTGTGAGGTGAGTTAGCGATAACTCTTGTAGCCCAGAAAAAAAGAAATATTAACATAGTCGAAGTATCATTTGAAAATATGTATGAGCTCATTGAGTTCGCGTATGTGTAATTAGTGCATTTAAACCTTGAATCACCTAAACCACGACATTCTCTTAGTCACACACAATTCTCCACTCAAAAACCACAAAAAAGATAACATTATTACTCGAAAGGACTCAACAATAGAAATAATATTATTTTACAATCGCATATACTATTTAACATACGCCAGTTATAATTATATTTTAATTTCCGATTAGGTACACGCGTGACGATTTTTTTTCACATCCGAGTTTCTGTGATTCAAGTACACATTCATACATTCACTTAACTGGTGCCTTTTGGCACCCGACAGCGAATTTCACGGTAAATTATTTCTAGACATTCCAGCACACGTTGCCGCCTGAAATAACAATATATTATTTTCATTTTCCCACTACTGAGTAATAACAATATTAATAAGCGCACGCACTTGCAGTTTATAGTATTAATTTTACGTAAATTTATTGCGAAAATTCGGTTATCGTGCCGACACACACTTCCTGAATAGGTAATCTCGAATCTTAATGAACGTATTTATCAGCACAGTAAAAATGTTTTAAAAAAATATCCGTCGTGCACCAATCCGACGGTATTGGTAATATTATTTGCGACCGTTAACGATCATAATACAAAGTCAAAGACAAAACGAACAACAATATATATATTATATATATATATATATATTCTACTCGAATATTTTAAATTAAGCCTTTTGATTGCTATGGTTTCATAATCGTAATTATTATAGCATTATTAGGTGTATAATAGTATGATACCAACACAGATCTACAGTTCAATCGCAATTAATACGTCACGTTATTATTTACGTATAACAGAATAGGAGCTTGTACGGCATGATATACCAGGTTTTCACGACGTGTACAACGCATTAATATATTATGGATTTAGCGAATCGCATAAATCTCATTCCAAACTGAGTCACGTTGAACATTTAACTTGTGCAATTAATTTATTCGGAATTTCGCCGAAATGTGCCCCTATTATTACAATATAAAATATATTTACCTATTAACTAAAACACATTTCCCCCCCCCCCCCCAACACGCCTTTCCGCTGTCATTACCACCACATACAGACGATAATCGCCCCACCGAATATTCGTCTATAAGATATTATTTTATTATACACACACTATTCGTAAGCAACATATTTTTCCTAGTGTCCTAGTATAATATTAATCAAAAGATTTATCTATTAAAAAACGTACTTTTCAAAAAATCACATCTCTTCCAGACACAATAATATGCAGGTAGTGCCGTAATGGTTTACTTCTTTTGCAGACGAACAATAAAACCGTTATATTATTATTACTAAGCAATAAATAAACATATATTATAGCGTACACTACATATCGACAAGTTATTCTGATAGACGATACGACTATAATATTAATTTATAACCTATTCAAAATGAAATTCAACTCATGTAGGCAATGGTACAAAAATAAGCAAAATACAAATGTATAATAATATACCTATAGATATCATTCAAACGCGGCGCTCTAGGGTCGTATACCTCATGTTAATTACTATCTATAAACGTGCTGAAGCTACTTGCCTACTGAGATACAAGTTATAACACTATTATTATATATGATGTGTATAAAGTTACAAATATTTCCTTATTTTTGTAGAAAGTGCGTTTGCTTTAAAATAAATTATGATGTAGGTACACAGGTGACGGAAACAGATGACAATAACTGTTTATGTTTCTAATATCTATTTTAGGTTTCCATACTACTTACAGAATAATAACAAAAACTAAAACGTAAAAATATTATATTACATACACATACTAAAAACAAAAATAAATAATAAAAATAATATATGCTATTTTTACTTAACACACGCATTGCGGTATACGAGTTTATGTAGCGCATAATAATATGTAGGTATACTTATTCATAATATAACAACTACAAATTGCTAAAATATTATATACTCCGATAAATGTTTGGCACTGATCTCTTTATCCTACTTTTACGCCATTTAAATTCCAAACCAAACTTTCGTTAGCAATGATAAAAGGATTCATAAATATTTCACAAAAATACATAATATTATCTGCGTATATAGTACCTATATTATGAGTAGACATGAAATATTTTGAACGTCGTTTTTGTTATTTTGATATAATTTAGGCTATTTATTTTAGTTTTTTTTTTTATTTATTTTTATTTTTATACAATTTTCAATACATTTATTTATTGTTTTTAGTTGAAAAAAAATTATTATTGGTTAACTTTTATGAGAAAAAAACGCAATCACTGTAGAAACCAAATAAATGCTAATTAATAACAATTTTATATGAGATTAACATTCAAGGTAATAACAACATTGGTTTTCAATATACATATATATATATGTATATTATTATAGCTAGTTTAAAAAATAAAATATACCTTATAAATTATGACCTCTATCAAATAGGTTAGTATTATTATAATTAATTATAAATTGCTTATTTATACAGTATACATATAGTTTAATTATATAAGTAGTAAGTACTTATATCTAAAGAAAATATTATTATGTACCTACACCGTATTGTAAGTACTTAAATTAATATAATGAAATATCAATACATTTTTTAGATGCAATATGGACTGTTGGTTTATGACAGTTATCGTTTTCTCATATAAACACAATAAATAAATCAAATAAACGTTCAAGCCTATTAATATCAGGCTAAACCATTTCAAAAAATAACAGGAATAATAAATAATCTTATAATGAAATTGTTATTCTGCGGTTTCGGAAATTGTTACCTATGATTAATAATATTTTATACCTGTTTTTCGGAACTAGATTTTTCAATTTAGTTGTTCACATATTATATCGCATTCTGTAAAAATTTACAACAAAGACTTGAAAAGTTTCAAAGAATCCAAAGTCATCACATAAATGTTCATTTAACTTTTTTGCGTGACACGGACGTTGGTTGCCCCACTCTCTGCAAGTCCCATCGTCAGCTCGCGGTGTTTTATCGATTTATAACGATATTAATATTTTATTATTATATTAAAAATAAAATAAAAAGAACAAAGTCAATGTGACGTCCTTCGAATCGTAAGTATTTTACAAAACGTTTTACGTAGGATTAAATAACTACTTTGAGTAGGTAGGTATATGAATATTTTCAGCGGACGAATACTTTGTCGTT